TCGTCGGCTGAAAGTTGGAACATCTTTACAAACAAGCTGTGCCAATCTTGTTTTCGCTTCAGCTGACATTTTAAGCGAGAAAAATCCGTAGTTTGGAAAGCATCTTTTTGCAAAACAAGAACTGATTACGCGTGCAAGCCTTCGTGTACACGACTTTGCGACTGGTAAGAATTTCTCTTTTAATCAATGCCATAACAAAGAATTTTTTCGTTTTTCTTGGGAAAGTTATTTTATAAAAGCAATAGAAGACGTTTTTCCTGTGTTTGCATAGCCTGATATAAACCATCGAGGGGTTGGGCTGACATTTTAAGCGAGAAAAATCCGTAGTTTGGAAAGCATCTTTTTGCAAAACAAGAACTGATTACTGATTGCTGATTAAGCTTTCTTCCCGAGCCGCCATATTGGAACGAAATCTGCCAGTCGCTATTTTCCCTTCGTCACTTCCCATGAGACCCCGCGCGCCTCAACTGAATCCCCAATCTTCTCTCACCCCCAAAACACATAAATAGCGACTGGGTACGAGTCTGCTGTTCTCTACAAGCAAAGTCAGTGTCCAAATGTTCTTGAACGTCACTATTTTCTTGTATTAACAAGGATCGCGGGAACTACAGCCAATTAAAGCAGAAAAGGCAAGAAGATAAGAAAATATTCAGTCGATATATGATATATAATCTCGTAGTGTAAATGTTATGGAATACTTCGCTGCAGGATCTGTGACGTCAGTCAACGTGGCAGCTGGAAAAAAAATCGGGTTTCTCCATCTTTTTGTATAGTTTTATTTTATTATTGTTTTTTTAGACATGAAAAAAAGTCATTTTTTCCTTGGACAAGTGATCATTTTTTTCATATATACCTCTTATTAGCCGAGTTTTTTCCATCGCGCTTGGGCCATAAATCGATGGAAAAAACGGGGATCCGTAATTTACAGTACGGACCGAAAAACGAGGCTAATAAGATGTTTATTATATGGCTTCTTCCTGTTTGGGGGACCGGAAACAAGTGCAGGACGCACGATTTGACAGTCATTTGACAGGCGTCAAAAAAGAAAGTTTTTATTGGCGCACGAAAACAATAGCACATAACAAAGGCTTTCCGAGAAAGTAAAAACAAATAGGCCACTTGCACTAAGAGATCACGTGACCAATGCTTCCTTTAAACAATGAGTTGGAATCTTGCTGATGACAAAAATTGACAGAGCACATAAAAATTAGCTTACACCCGAAATTTGAGAGGAAACGCATTTAATGGAGATATTTTGTAGCTCTTTGATTTTTCAACAAAGCTTTATGATTTGTATTGGCCGCCAGGTTGGAGGGCATACTCTTGCCCTCCAATATGGCGGCCAAAACTACTTTTTGCTTATATCTTGTTAAACGTTTGATAGTTACGCTCAGATGTGCTGTAAACGTTACCACATCATTTTTTCAACATCCTCGTTGAAGTTTAAGTGCAAAGCTTGTGTTCAGAAAGAAGTAATTCATAATTTTAAAGATCACATTTTGGTCACGTGACTAGCGAGGAACTTACTCATTTTAAGAAAATGGTGCGGGTTTGAAAAACCAAGTCACTATTATTCTGTTCAAGATATGACCCACTAATCGTTTTTCGAAGGCAAAATCATACATCTTTCATTTTCATGAAACTATGTCACATGACCTCTTAGAGCAAATGGCCTATTCGCCATGTCAGTGAAAAAGTTTATTCGGTCAAAACTAAGAGCACTGTAAGTTTTAGCTCTTTAATGTAACGCTGGAGTATTTTGGAAACCGAACACTGTGTCTGTCTAGAATTCTTTTCCATCTTTCCTCCGTTTGTCCTTGTAAAAAAAAAAAACACTGCAAAAGGCAAAGAAGCCGGCTTTTCAAGGTAAGTTTGTTGTCGTTGTCGAAGGATTCGCTCGTTAATTGTTTTTGGGAAAACTTCTCTTTCTGCCAGTTCATTCTCGTCTTCAATTGTGATCTGCGTTAAATTTTCAAACACTGACTAGCATTCTCTTCCTCGGTAAGGCTACGATTCAGTTTCTACATCAGCTTCGTTCTCATTAAAACAAAGCTACAGGTTAAAATTTGGAAAGGCAAAGTCAACATCCCAGTCCTCGAGCACTGTAAGTATTCACTCGTTAATGTGACGCTGGAGTCTTTTGTAAACTGGACATTGTGTCTGGCTCGAACTCGCTTCTATCTTTCTTTCGTTGGTCTTTGAAAAAACACTGCAAATGGCAAAGAAGCTTCTCAAGATGATCGGGTGCAGGTATGTTTGTTATCATATTTGTCGAAGGAATTACTCATTTTCTCTTAGGCAAAACATCTCGAATCTCTGCCAGTCGATTTTCGTCTTCTTAACTGTGTACTACGATAAAATTTTCAAACACCGACTAGAATCCTCTTCGATAAGATTACGAGTTAGTTTCTTCATCGCCAAAGTCAACATCCAAGTCCTAAAGATTAACAGGCGTCTTATAACTTTATTTAAACCTTTTTTCCGAGGAAAAGAGATTTAGAGCTCCGAAATGAGCATTTTCTTTAAAAATTTTGGTCCGTATACCAAGTTACGGACCGCAAATTGACCAATCGCACGGGGAAAACAGACTCAGCCCTATAATAAAATTATTTATTCAGCCACAAAAAAAAAGCAATCTACATGAATTCAAGCATCTTTTATTTAATTTCGACGCACGTTTTGTAGGATTATGCGATAACTTTATATTTCATTATGCGAATCCTTCTAGTAAATTAGCCTTTAAGGTTCTTGAGGGGTACCTACAAAAGAACAAATCATAGAGTGATACAGAACCATCCATCTAAGTGGTAAGGTCTACAAAAATGTCCTAATAAGCTAAACGGATAGGAGAAGTCGTTACGTCACGTTGTCATGGTAGCAAAATTGCTAGACCTCAACAAACCGTAGTCTTGCCTTTATGGCAAAAAAAATACACGAAAATATCGACATGTATGACCTGTGCATGATTGCACTCGGCAACAAAGCGGTAGCACATTCTTTTCTTCCGTCTCTGTCAAAAAAGATTGTTGAGATCCAGAAAGTTTGCTACCATGGTAACGTGACGTCACACTTCTCTCTAGTTAACGTAACACTGAAGCTCCTGCTATGTCAACCGACACTTAAACGCGGTTTTAAGTTTAGTGTTGTAAAACCGAAAACAACGTTTTATATATTTCTAAAAGAAAATCTAAAACTAAAAGAAAAAACATTTAAAAAATACACACCAAATACAAACAGTCAAAACCATGAAAATTTGCAGGCATAAGTGAGGATATGGCTTCACAATTATGAGAGAATTTTGAAGGTTTTATGCCAGATTGGATAGAAATACTGACTAGGCTCGATTTCCGCTGTCTCCCGGGTCCGGTCTTTGATCTTTGATCTCTTTCGGGGGATGAGTGCGGGCTCATTTTCCCGAACAGCGGCTGGTAATCGAGCCTAAATACTGACGTACTTTGATTGATACCATTTTTGGAAATGCAAGGCTTAAAGCAATGTAAATGATTATCATAATCGATCCTTTGAGAGGATGAGTACTGGTAAAATACATTGTGTAGACTGGGAAGTGACGACAGTTTGGTAAAGTCGTTTTTTTAGATCTGGGCGCGTAGGATTTTTAGATCTACGCGCGCTGTATTAATGATGCCTTTCTAAATCTGCCTAATAAGGTGGTAAGGGATAAATTCCAAGAAGATTTAGCACAAAAAGAAATGAAAAGAAAAGAAGAATCGCAAGGTCAAATGAACGTGTGACTAAAGCGAGAGACTTCCGGTGTTTAAATGCCGTTCTTCCATCAGTCAAGCCGGTTTTAGATCTAAGCGCCATCCCTGTCGCGTTGTCTTTGCTAAATATCCCTGTTGTTATCATATAGACAGCCGCAATCGCAAAATTTTGTATTTATACACCTAAAATATCTGATGCCTCTAAGACACTGAGAATCTGCGTTTAGCTTTCAAGTTTGAGGTCATGTGACGATACTTGACCCTGCACCATCGAAGACAATGAAGTAAATTACTGTCGAAAGAAGCGTCGCTTATAAGCACATTTTTTACATCGAGTTAAATAGTATTTCGTTCAATCAGAAAATCAGGGTGTTTGAACAAGACGGGGGTTGAGGTATCAAAAGGTCGTTTATTCCATCCCTTGGTTACTAATGCCTTGGCTGTTGCTACCACCTGGAGTAGAGCGTTTACAGTGGAAAACGACCAAGATTATGATGACGGCAATTAGCACAACAGCACCGCACGTAACCCCAATAATTAACGGCAGATTGGACGACTTGCTGGACCCTTCCTCCTTATTTCAACCTGTGTAAGACAATAATAATTAGGTGGAATACAAACTTCATTCATCCGAAAATATGCAATTGAAGGAAGTTTTTTCTCTTTTTACAATGATGTAATCTGAGCCGAATTATAAATTTTCTTCGCGTAACTTTCTGTGATTCTCTAAAACGAAACTGTCGAAGCAATGAATCTTAAATTTCTCCAATGATTTAAAACAAAATGATTGCGTATGAAATAGGTTTTATATCTCAAAGGTAGTCCGTGACTACATGTAAATGAAAATGAATTACCATCTCACAAAATACTCTCACTCAAAGATCTAATGCTGATGTCAGAGGAATGATCGCGATGTTTGCAGCCCTGATGAATATATAACATTCTCTTCAGTTCACTACAAACGAATCACTTGAGAAAGCTGGTTTAGTAACTAAGAAAAACGTGGATGAATTGTTGGGAAGCGTTTAGAGTCTTCACAGCCAATATTAAATTGATACGGCGAGCGACGACCTTTTTTCACGTCAATTACCATGCAGAGTCTAATACTGTCGACAAATGTTACAACTCACTTTGACTGTGACTTGACTTTCGGCACTGGAAGAGCTATACTCAACGACCATATATATTCAGTCTACTTATGCCATGTATCCAGGGTTCAGCCCATTTACCTTGATTGTTGTCTTTAAGTTTTAAAGAGTTTGAGTCCACCTCCAAGCTCCCTAATTTTCCATCGGCTGTTTCTTGCTTCAGTGGGGCCATGGCTTCTTTGGTAGTCAGACTTGTTTTGAACGTCAGTTTAAATTCAGCTATAACACTGCCTTTCCTACATAAAATGGAATTAAAAAAATAAAATCACCATCACCAAAAATTGAGGCCCCCGTCGGCATGTATCCAAGATATTCTTGATAAAGAAATTTCGTTTCTCCGCTTTCAACAACAATACGCGTTCACACGAAGCGTCTTTGAATCGATTTCGCACGTCCACATGAAAACGCTTAAAAACGATGGAAACGAAAGCATCCCTTACAGAGTATTTCGCTGAACAGAGAGCTTTTTAAACGTTCTGTTTTAATTCTTTCTCGGTACAATGTACAGTCAACTGGTGGAAAAGTCTCACGCGCGTTTAGGTGAGGGAAAATGTTAGAATTTAAACACACGTTAAATGATTGCCTAATTTTGGGCAATTGAACTGACCATTTACTTATTTAACATTTGCATTAAATGAAGAAATGTCGCCTCAAAATTAAGGATTAATTTCTCATATATTAATAAGAATAATAATTTTAATAATAATAATAATTTTCATTGAAAAAAAATAATGTCAATGGTGATGATGATGAAGCCTCTAAAAATCTCAAGAATAATAATTTCACCATTTAAATAGACACTACCTGAAAGAAATTATCTCAACATTTTGTAGTTCAGAATTTCCAGAATATGCCTTTAAAATCTGCAATGTCGATGGAAGAATGCATTAGATTGAAAATAGAAATTTAGAGTTCCGTCCTATAAATGTATACGAACAAAAGATCCCAAATGGGAATCAAACTTGGGATTACGTTTGCAACGTCAAGCGACATTTTCTCGTTGCTTCACTTAAGGTGGCTCCGTGATAAACACAAGAGCAGTTAGCTGTGACAAATTTTCCGTCATACCTTTTTCGATTTTAACGCGATGGCTGCGAAACTTTGCAATTAACAACAGATATCATTCGGCAATAATACGAAATATTCCGATTTCATTGATGGTAAAAGTTCTTGAGAAATTAGCGCTTAACGTAGACTTGGCGTCTAGTAAAAAATTTTGCTGATATTTTTTACTGAAATTTCTGGTATCGGCTTTAATTGATATAATAAATATGCCAGAGGAATTTCAGAAAAATCGTTGGAGCAGAAGTCCGTAACTAAAAGTCGCTCAAAATTCAGCTGTGAAATTGTTTTGGAATTTCAAAAATAAATTACTATCAGGAAGAAGGAGACACCAGTTTCAATTTTCGGGACAAGCAACTTCAATGTGTTTCCTAATTCTGAAAACAGAAGCCGATTGCCTATCGTGCTATTCTTTAAAAGGTACTTTTCAGTTTTTAGAAGCACCATAAATTGCTCCAAACTTTGCTCTGACATCGAATGACTTGTTCCTCGACATTTTTAAAATATCCCTTGGCAGTTTTGGTTCTAACTCCTGCTACATACATTTTGATGTATTGCAAAGCATCCCCAACGGCTTTTCCTGCTTTACGTTGTTTCCAATTCAGGAAAAAGGTATTGGGATTGTAAGCTACCTAGTATCGAAGCTCAGATAGAACTGTCCACTACCTTTGTTTATGACCAGAAAATGAGCACGAGCGGCAGCTCTGCGAGGAATTCGCACCTCAGCCAGGGGGGACGAGTGACAATGATGCCCATGTCTGTGAACCGATCTGTATAAACATGTATTGCAGAGCAAAACATAATAATCAAGAAAAAAATACCCATTCATTGAAGGAAGGAGTGACAAAAATTTCAGAGTTGTAAATTTATTCACGGGCAGTATTTTTGCGATAATTTTATTTTGCACTGTGATGTTATTTGGTTCACAAGCATGGTCATCATTGTCGTTCGTCACCCCTGGGTGAGGTGCGAATTCCACGCAGAACTGCCGCTCGTGCTCATTTTTTAGTCATAAACAAAGGTGCTGGACAGTTCTTTCTGAGCTCTGATACGAGGTAGCGTCCAATCTCACTACTTTTTTCCCGGGTTGGAAGGAACGAACGGCAGTAGAAGTCGTTGAAAATGCATGGCAATACATCAAAATGTATGCAGCAGGAGTTTGAGCCAAAACTGCCAGGGGATATTTTAAAACTGTCGACGAACAAGTCATTCTACTTCAGAGCAAGGTTTGGAGCACTTTATAGTTCTTCTAAAACTAGAAAGTACCTTTCAAAGAATAGCACGATAGGCAATCCGCTTTTGTTTTAAGAATTAGCAAGCGTTGAATTTACTTGTCCCGAAAATTCAAACTGGTGGCTCCTTCTACCTGATAGTAATTTATTTTTGAAATTCCAAAACAATTTCACAGCTGAATTTTGACCGACTTTTAGTTACGGACTTCTGCTCCAACGATTTTTCTGAAATTCCTCTGGCATATTTATTATATCAATTAAAGCCGATACCAGAAATTTCAGTAAAAAATATCAGCAAAATTTTTTACTAGACGCGATTTTCTTTGAACAGTAGGTCCTTTTAAGCACTAATTTCTCAAGAAATATTTACCATCAGTGAAATCGGAATATTTTGTGTTATTGTCGAATGATATCTGTTATTCTTTGCCAAGTTTCGCAGCCATCGCGTTAAAAACCAAAAAGTTATGACGGAAAATTTGTCACAGTTAAATGCTCTTGTATTAATTACGGAGCGACCTTAACCCACCATAGCGCTTTCTCTCGTCACTCGGGGGGCCAGCAGCTATGAAAATGTATTGCGTTTGCATAACAAATGAGTTGAATTCCCACAGGACTAGTGCATGGTCGCCGTTTGATTGTTTTGGGACACCAACATGGCGACCGTGACTTCATGTGGAAAGAAGGCTCTGTTTATTTAAATACGTGACTATGGAGGCGCGAGTGAAAGCAAGACAGTGGGGGCTTAAGCTGGACATAGTAGTAAGAATCACCTACATGTAGGAATGTGCTGAACCATTCCAAATATGGGGTAACATGAAAAGGGATTAAGAAGGGATTCGCAAGTGAAAAGCTTTGCCGACCAGAAAATAAAAGATGTTGTACATCCTTATTTAACTGTACCTGTTCTTTCAGCAATGTGGATATTTTCTTATATTTCTCACTGGCTTTATCCTCTAATTGGTCATCCCACTTCTCGTTAACACGAATTTCGAAAGTGAAATCTGGTTAAAAATAAAATGTACCGAGATGTGAAGTAGATATTGCTGTCGTATAATGGCAAATAATGATAGCACTGTTTTAATAAAAACATGGTAATAATAATGATGATGATGATGATGATGATGATGACAATAATAATATAATCAATAATAATAATAACAATAATAAATTCTCTGACTTTTATAGAACCTCACTCCTCCTTTTAGCGGTTCTCTAATGTTTAGACACATTTTTGGCAAGTTTGATGACCATTGGTTGTCTTGGTTACGAGATATGACATAAAAGTGGCACGAAGTTGATTCTGAAAATTGTTTTGTGCACAAAAACACGATTATAGCAAAAGTCGTCAAGATGGTCGCCAAGACTGCCGCCATTACCAGAGTTGCATTGTAAATGATGTGATACAATGTACGTCCGTTAAACAGCAGCCTGAAACCACCACCATTTTAACACGGTAGTTTCGGGAATTTTCGTGTAAGTCAAGGAGTAAACAGTGCGTGGACTGTTTTGTTTAAATGCAAACATGTTTCTTATTATTTCATGGATGTCAATATATCAACCTGTCTTCCGTTCATTGGAGACTCCATCGGTTGTTGGTTTTGCCGGCTCTGTGGTACTCTCTGAAGATGTAGTCGGTTTCTCTGAAATGAAATATACCATTCATTTACCGAAACACAATTATTTGAGTTGACTTAACCCAATAACTTGCAGCGGCCCATATCATGCTAGCCACAATACTGTTATTTGTTCTTCTATTTATTTGTTTATTTATTTTTGTCTTTTGTAAAGGGTGTTTATGTAATCACCTATCTGGGGTAATTATTTTTTTACGAACTACGGAAGCTCTTTCTTGCAGGGGGCTTTTACAGCCTTATAGTGGGGAAGGTGGCAATAGTTCGTTTCTTTCGTCAAAGCGATGCTATTTTGGGGCAAAACGGTCGATACTACGAGGCAGATTATTGATATTGAAAAAAAACCTTATACAATTTATTGCAGTTACTAACTTAAGGTGGCTCGACTGGATTTTTTGGGGTTGATACCTCCCAACTTTGAGCATTAACTACGTCTGCATGAGTAAAGATATGGAAAAAAGGTTACCACAACTGTATTAGATAAAGATGAAAATTTCTTATGATCTGGGTTTTATTGCAATCGGAGTCGCCATGGCAACGTAATGACGCTATTACGTTTTTCATTTATCTTTGTGTTTCTCTGTTCCAGGAGTTTTTTGAAGAAATCGCTTAAGGGAGTATGTACCTGCTATAATTGCCTCCATTATGGCGTAGTTTGAACAAATTCTATGAGAGCGTTTTCGAAATATTTTGAAATGTAGTTTTAAGAATGATAAAAACAGTGAAATAGCATGCTAGCCACACAATTCGCTAATATTTTAAGAAAATGGTAAGCTTTGGGAGCGAGGCTTCATCTCATAGTGATTTGATTCCATCGAAAACTGCATACAAAAAACGAGGGGAATTGCTCTGGGCGATCGCGAGTAAGAAGAATTTTATTAACTTGCATTCAGCTGCTTTTGATAGAGTTTTTGGACGTAATTTGGTCCATGCCTAAAAATTTCGCATTTTTTCAAAAACCGCTCGATAAATTTTTTCATAAATTCGACAATCCCGCGATCAATTGTCAAGAAATATTCCCTGCAAGTTTCAAGAACATTGAAAATAGGGAAGGCTTTTAAATAGGGCCTTAAATATAACCAATTTTCCCCCCAGATTTTGTGTTTACAACTGAGTGTCCTCATTATTCACTGGCATTGTTTTCAAGTTTCATATGCACGTGCACAACTAGCAAAAGATATAAATTTGCATCAAAAAGAACTCTCGATTACGTTCCGAAGAAATATCCTGAATATGCTAACAATTGGCTTGTCGTCACAGATAGCAGTGAGAGCCGAAACGGTGAAAGTCACGGCTCATCGTGTAGGATGGAATATTTAATTATCTTACTCGGGTTATAACATCACAGAAACTCTCACAAAGAGTTGCTCTGATGTTATAATGTATCATTAATCTCTTTACCCGGTAATTAGCATATCCCGGAGATTTAACCGAGGGTCCTTTTTGATGCAAATTTATATCTTTTGCTAGTTGTGCACGTGCATATGAAACTTGAAAACAATGCCAGAGAATAGTGAGGACGCTCAGTTGTAAACACAAAATCTGGGGGGAAAATTGGTTATATTTGAGGCCCTATTTAAAAGCCTTCCCTATTTTCAGTGTTCTTGAAACTTGCAGGGAATATTTCTTGACAATTGATCGCAGGATTGCCGAATTTATAAAAAAATTTATCGAGCGGTTTTTGAAAAAATGCGAAATTTTTAGGCATGGGCCAAATTACGTCCAAAAACTCTATCAAAAGCAGCTGAATGCAAGTTAATAAAATTCTTCTTACTCGCGATCGCCCAGAGCAATTCCCCTCTTTTTTTGTATGCAGTTTTCAATGGAATCAAATCACTATGAGATGAAGCCTCGTTCCCAAAGCTTACCATTTTCTTAAAATATTAGCGAATTGTGTAGGTAGCATGCTATTTCACTGTTTTGATTATTCTTAAAACTACATTTCAAAATATTTCGAAAACACTCTCATAGAATTTGTTAAAACTTTGCCATAATGGAGGCAATTATAGCTGGTACATACTCCCTTAAGCGATTTCTTCAAAAAACTCCTGGAACAGAGAAACACAAAGATAAATGAAAAACGTAATAGCGTCATTACGTTGCCATGGCGACTCCGATTGCAATAAAACCCAGATCATAAGAAATTTTCATCTTTATCTAATACAGTTGTGGTAACCTTTTTCCCATATCTTGACTCATCCCGACGTAATTAATGCTCAAAGTTGGGAGGTATCAACCCTAAAAAATCCAGTCGAGCCACCTTAACTGCAGTGAAAATTGAGGAGCGTAAAGAAAAATCAAATTCAATTCACAGCCAGGAAAACGCATGGCAACATCGATTAATATCTTGGGTATCCAGCGTCTTCTTTGGTCTTTTGTACGCTGTCGTTGCTCGCTTATATAAATTGTACATGCCTTACGATCATGAAAAAGCAGAAACAAATGATACCTCTCTCCTTCCATGATTTCTGCTGTACATGTATTTGAAAAACTAAATTCACTCAATGAATTTTACAATTTATTTTGGCAATTTAAAGTAGTTGAAACTAAACATTTTACAAAAAAAACTATCTCAGCTTTTTATACGTGACAGAACGGTGGAATTATTAGATTCTTTGTAAAATAAGTGTTAAAGGGGCTAAAGTATTAGAAACTTTACCTTTCCCGCAATACATTCCAGTAAAACCTGGTGGACAATTGCAGGTGTAGGTATTTACACCATCCATGCAAGATCCGCCGTTAGCACAGGTGTGATTAACACAATCGTCGATATCTGCAAGTAAGATATTCAGCAGAAAATTTAATCTTTAAATTGGCGTAAGACAAGTCGGAAAGAAAGCAGGGATGGAAAAACGTACGAATTAAATTATCAAGGGATAGATATATTGTTGATGGGATGATTGTGTGGATAGATGCTAATACAGCGTACACCAGTACAACGTGGAAACTTACTTATCTCACAACGACTTCCGTTAAAACCTTCTAAGCAATTGCATGAGTAGCTGTTGACAGCATCCAAGCACGAACCGTTATTGAAACATGGGTGGCTGGCACAATCATCGATATCTGTCAAAGGAATTCAGAAGAGTAAATTGCAATGCATATGTCTAGCTTAGACGTCTACAGTCGAACCTTTCGTATGGGAACAACCATAATTATGTTTAAGATTTGATGCAGGGGTAACTTTTCTCGTTACAAATAACAGGTCGAACATTTCCTTTACTGTACTCGATCTCAGTTCAAAAAAACGATCGCTACCAAATAACAAATCTCCGACGGTGTCTCTTCAGTGGTTGTCAGCTGTAGTATTGTCCAAGTTATTACAGTGATGTTCGATCACACCATTTGTCAAACGGTGTGTTGGAACGGTGAATAAGGGGAAAGTTTAAAATACCCGACCATCATCTTCAAAAGTTGTCGCGGTCGCTTGCGAAGGTGTGGTCGCTTATGAGAGGCTGACATTGGCCAGATTAAGTCTGAAGGTTGCACGACCTTGTTTTCTATCCTACCTTTGCAGTTTTTCCCGTCCCCCGTGAAACCAGATGGGCAAGAACCACAGGAGATAGAGTTATTATTTTCCGCACAAGGCACACCGGGGAAACAAGTATCGTTGCTACAACTTGTAATAAGAACATTGCAGTGTCGCCCCGTAAAACCAGTATTACAAATGCAGCTGTAATTGTTCACTCCATCAAGGCAAGTACCTGAGTTAAAACAAAAAAATGTTACAATTATTGTAGTCGCGAATGTTTTCGCCATTCAACATTCAAGTATCAACTTCCATGAATGCATGTTGAGCCTCACGCGTTTTAGCCTGCGAGCAAGCTCTTCCTGTTTGGGGAAGCGAAGCGAGCCTCGCGAGAGCGCGCGAGGGAGGGGCTGAGGAAAGGCCTTATATTTTTATAGCGGGTATTCTATAACGATATCCATACAGATATAGAGTCGGCAGATATTTCAAACATTTTAATTCCTGTACTGGCTGTAACTTTCGAGTCTAAACAATATTGGCAAAAGCAACGGGAGAGAGGAAAAGGGCTACTTGAGAATTGTGTGTAAGCCGAGTTTGACCAAGCTATAGTTTTTAAACTAATTAATTAAAAGTAATTAATAAAAAAACTAAGATAGTACGCGTGCTCTGATTGGCCGAGAGGAGTTTTTGCATGAGAGTATGTAAACATGGTTGTGGCGTCAAGAAGTTTTGCTTTTCACGCGCTAATCACGCAAACGTTTTCGAGTTCAAAACTCCACAAGTTTACTTTATTTACCCATTCCTTCGTCGGCTGAAACTTGGAAAATCGTTACAAAGAAGGTGTGTCAATTTTTCTTCGCTTAACCTGACATTTTAAGCAAGAAAAATCCGTATTTTGGAAAGCAACTTTTTGCGAAACAAGAACTGATTACGCGTGCAAGACTTCGTGGACAAGACTTTGCGACTGGTAAGAATTTCTCTTTTAATCAGTGCCATACAAAAAGTTTTGTTTTCTTTTCTTGGGAAAGTTATTTTATAAAAGCAATAGAATACTTTTTTCCTGAGTTTGCATAGCCTGATATAAACACTCGAGGCGTTGGGAGAATTCTCGACAGTTATGCAAACCCTCGACGTCGTCTCGGGTTTGCATGACTGCCTCGAATTCTCCCAACCCCTCTCGTGTTTATGTCAGGCTATGGAAACACGGAAAACGTTTTCTGTTGCTTAAATAGAGAATATAAAGGGACGATTAGCTTTTAGCCTTGACTAAATCTATATACGGAAGATACATGTTTTTGAGTCCTCAGTCAAACGAGACTGATAAACATAACAGGGCAACATTAGTCGCATGGCAGTGATGTTTCAGACCCCCCTTTGAGGAGCAGGATTCTTATTTAAGAGGACAGAAAATACTTTGTCGTGAAACCTATTGAGACAGAGACCTCCTATTTGCGTTGGAATGTCATTAAGATGACGTCATTTGCGATTTTGGTTGGTTTCAACTGGTCTGACAAGACATTTTACAATAGATTTAAGATTTTTCAATAATTTGCTCGAAGTGAGCGCCGAAAATAAGTGAACCGGTACCGATGTAATAACTGTGGGAGGAGAAAAAACTTGCATAATTATGTTACGGATCAGAGATTTTAGGTGGAATGTAACTTAGGGCTTATCCCTTCGTAAAATGAATCAATTAATGAATGTTTTTATAATTTTCAGCAAACCAATCAAAACAATGACATCAACCGAAACAACTCTAAACTTGTTAACCCGATTATACCACCTGTCAATGGCACGAGGTCCCTATCTTAATAAGATTTATTACTTCATCGGCGCTAATGTATTCCTGTTCAAAAACGGGCCTAAAACCTCTCTCCTGCACTACTTAAGTTGAAGATTTTTACCCTAAACTATGAGAGTGCCGAATCAGCAAAGAATGTTTTGTATGTTTTTTGACCTCTGCTGCACCATATCAGATATCTGTCGCTAGATTGCAATTTTTCTACATTTAGTTTGGTTTTGGTTTCACCTTGTGCCTGATATGTAATATGAAACCCTTCAAACTCTTTGTCACCGTCTGTATTAAAGGCAATCCTCACTGGCCCAGGAGCCTCTATGATAAGGGGCAGTACATCACCACAAACCCTGGTTATTTCGGGAGAAGTTGTGGAATTTCCTTCTTGCACTGATAGCCAGTCATATTTACATTCTTCGTTCTTTTCTAACATAAATTTGTGGAAAGTCAGAGTAGTACGATAGCCGTAGCCAAGATCAATAAGCCATACGCACGCTAGTCTTGTTGGGTAGTTATCGGGATGGTTTGGAGACATAATGGTTCCCGACAAAGTCGTCAGCCTTACATCACAAATACCTTAGTAAACAAAAAAACAATAAAAAAGTTGATATTGATTGTTTTTACCACAGGCTATTACTGCTGTTAATCTGTTTACATAATGTTGATATTGTTCAATACGAAATGAATGAATCATAGTTCAAGATTTTAGTTTTTCATTTTGACAGTTCAATACTTATAGGAGCCTTCTGTAAGCAATTATCTCTTAAATTTGTATCATTCATTTGTATAGTTCATTTTTAATAGTTACATAGTTTAGCTGTCAGAGTCCTTTTGGGTCTGACCAGCAAATATTATTACAAGCGTCGTTTTGAATTGTAAACAAATCAACTTTCAAAACGATTAGTCTCAAGAAGTAGAGAGGAGCACTCGACTTCGTTCGTACTCTAGCCCCTTTCTGTTTGCTTTACAACAGAACATACATACATACATACACACTTTATCTGAGTAGGTTAAAAGGAGCAGCCAGAGGCTGATGTGGACCTACTGAAGTACAAATAATTAAAAAATAATAAATAAATAGATATAAATAACAGACCACATGCAAGGCTTCCTTATTTGTTATTTATTGTCCATAACTAATCACACTACTGCTGGCTTTAAAAAACATTGCAAGCGCAGTTACATAATCATATCTGCTGAAACCTGGAGCGTTGGAACGCCAGAATACTACTGAAAGCCAGTAAAGATAGAGTACTAAGAAAATACAACACACAAAAAAAGCAACGAATAATCACCCTGGCCAAAAAGTTTGGCCGTTACGTTTCCTGCAACTTAGGTGTCCCCCATAAACCAAACATTGATCACAGGATTTTAAAAGGGTATCGTGTAATATCTGTGGTAAAATGTTGGGTCAATAACTAATGACAGACCAGCGAGAACGTGTAGGCAAAGTTCGCAAGGCAAGTTCCGAGACTCAGCCCCCGATTCGATCTACAACTCAGAAAACTTACAAAAATGAGACGCAAAAGTTTATAAAAACGCGATGCCTTATGTATTGTCACATATACTTGGGAGGAGATGGTCAGATCAGTGCAATCCGAGAAGGTGCACAACAGCAACCTCTCCTAAATAAGAATCCAAATTCTTAAGACATGAAAGCGAGGCCCGAAAACAAAGCCTCTTTGCTCACTGCAACAAGAAAACAGCAAACAGAGCTCACTCAAAGCGAGACTCCGCCATCAATAATAATTGACTCAATAACTATCATGTAATGAACAAGAAGTATAAATCAACTTATGCCTCGCTCGTCACTTAGCAAAGCAGAGTTACAATCCGAACACTACATTGTAACGCACTGCTACACCAAGAAAACACGAAGCTTAGTTGAAATGAACGAAAATGTCTTTAAATGAAAATATGTTTGCCATCTTGTTGCAGTAGCTATATTTGGGGCCTTTGAGCCAGTCGTCGTCATACTTAAAGCCGAAGTTTTAGTCCACTGACGAAATGACACTTCTAGTCGTCATAAGAATTAAATACTAAGTTGCGGGTCTTCCTAATACTCATAGAATGCCAGAAAGCACGAGCAAGTAGTCTTGTTGTTCTAGTCAAGACCTTGCCAAAGGGCTTTCTATATTTTGCTTTTTCGGCAAACGGAATTAAGCACCCCCTTTTAACACTCAGGAATTCCGGGATTTGGTATGTATCAGCGTTCCGACGTTCCAGGTGTCGGTTCAAGAAGGTCAGTAGTTTAATACCTTTGTGCTTTGCTAAAAAGCCTCTATTTTGCTTGTCATTGTCTGTGTGCATATGCACAAGTAACATGTTACTGCTGGAAACAAACGTTTTCTCATCAACATCTTGCAAGCTGAAGCCACACAATCGCGCTATTACGACAGTGCTTCCATACGAACCATCCAAGATTTCAATGTAATCATTCGGACAGTTGGCATCCTTTTCCGCCTATTTTAAATTAAAATTAGGAGGTCTATTAGTAATCTATTACTGAGCCATTTCTGAATTAGTAATCCGAATCCAGTGCTGTGCGTAACATATATCTGGTAATGAACAACCCTAGTGTACTGTTCCAAGTCTTGAATGAGTAATCTATACGGTGAAATGACCAATAAAGAGTTAACGCCCAACTTGTTGATCCACGGTCGGGAGTCGTAATGGTTACTTGTAAACAGAGAGTGAGTCATAAAATGAATATCTTCTAACTTATACCATGCAACTCTGACACCATTCTCTAGAGTAGCCGGAAGAAGCCAAAATTTGTCGTACGATCAGAAGCATGCGCAGTCGATGGGTTTTCTTATTATCTGGGGTATTCACTCCTAGGGCCGATGACATCACGTAAAATGCACGTGGATGAGATCGAGAGATTTCTAGTAAATTTTTCCAGAGTGCAAGCAGATTATAAACGAGGTGAGTGTTTATAATAATAATGGCTATTTTTATATTCTAGATGTCTTTTTCTTGTTGAAGCATTCATCAAAGTCTCGTTCCAGAGCGTTTTAGTAATGAATCTCGAGGAATACGAGATGTCTATGTGTCTATCAATCAAATCCTCCTTCATCGAGATAATATTTCTCTGTGCATGCAGTAGAAGTGATGTGACGGGCAAAAAATTCTTCTTTTCAGAACAAACAACTACTGACTCTAGCTTGCTGGTCTCGGGTGAAAAGAGAGGAAAGATGCGAAGCAAATCAGCTTTGCGTCTAAAGCGACTTCGGTACCGCATGCGATTGATCAAAGAATTCTTCGCCCGTTGAGGCGTTAAATATGATCGTTGTGCCAAAATCTCAGCCCGTTGAGGTAAATACTCAGCTGACAATTTGACTATGGACCACATTTGTCCGTTGAGGCTTGGAACCATATATATGGATTCAAAATGCGTATCGCTCTTTGAAGCTAACCCCTTGCTAACCATTCAATTGTAAAACCATTTGACTGCCGCGTTGGCGAGCGCCTGCTACTCAGGCTACCGTCGGGTACAATTGTTTTTAAACCTTTAAGGCAAATAAAACTTCTCGACACCAGATTAAACCCGTTAATATCCATGTGTCGATATCCTCGTACCTCCATTCGCGAATCGGCAAAAAATTGTTGACATAGTAGAGCAGCCAAACACATGAAAATATCTTGTTTTCCTCGGGATTCATTACTTAACCGTTTGTGACCTAGACGAAATTATTTCCATAGGCAAATAAAGAAATATAAAAAATATAAACAAACAATAATTAAAAACTCAGGCCCCGGTTGCATAAAACGCCCGTAACAGTTGCGGGTATACGTACGTGTACTCGTAACTTAAGTGAGTTGCATTAAATCACTTAAGTGGTCCACTTAGGGATTTCACTTAGGTGGCTACACTTACGATTTTCGTAAGTGTTCACTTAAGTGTCATTTATGCAACAAAAATTGCGGGTGTTGCATAAAACTTAGCACGTAAATTTACCGGACCTATGTAGGTCCCGTATCCATACTGTTTTTAATAAAGTTAACGAGATCTTTTACTGAGAAGTGAAAAAAAGTATTTTTCTTCACGTAATTCGTTCTAATGCGCTTTGTTAACCTCTATTGTACACTTAGAAACCGACGATTAGAAAAAAGAAGACGAACTATCATTTTCAGTAGATATTGAGGTAAAATAACGATTGCATGCAAATTTTGTCGTTGTTTTTTTTTTTTTGAGAGGCTTAAAAAGTGTTCAAAACGACTAGACACTTTCTTTACACTCACCGATTGTTAGCTCAAAAAAAAAAAAATTAAGAGTGAGTCATTCGTAAAGTAATATATCAAAGTTACATATGCCCTTAAGTGAGCCCGTAAGTTTTCACGTAAAACTGGAACTTACGAGAGTGTTGAGTGCGTTCCATGCAACAGTCGTAAGTGACGTGTAACCATAACGGAATCGTAAGTGAAATTATAAGTGCAGATTTTATGCAGCCGGGCCCAGCCCTCGTTTATCGTCTACTTGCACCCTGGAAATTTACTAGGAGAAGTGTCGAAGGGCTTTCCCCTTTTATACATCACAAATACACAGACTGAAATATTTTTCTTTTAAATACGCTCTAATTCCCAGGGGCCACTTTAGTTTTCTTTACTGTATTTATTTTCAAACTGTATTCTACGTATTGTCTTCCGGCTCTGACGCCAGACTGTACTTATTTTCAAATTAAAACTCCTATTATATATGCTCACAGGTTAGTGTCGATGACAAATTTTCCCACCTAGAAGTCAATTTTTCATAACTCCATGATTTACTCTATGATCTAGGCCGGCGACACGCACCACGTGTAGATAAACTGACAAGAGTTGAGAGAAACGCAAAGAAAAGTGAGTTCCTAGACTCTGGCCGGAAGAATTTTTTAAAGATATGATGGAGTTAGGTTATTAACAATCTTAAACAAATGAATATCGTCAACTAACTAAAACTGGTGATTTTAGCTTCTTTCGTCCCTGCTGCTCCATAAAACGAAATCTCTTTTTTCCTTCACGTTACCTGTCGCATACTGAATTTTTTTAAAGAATTCACTTTCCCAATATCGATGCAAATAACGTCCCAGTAACATCAGCTTTTACATGTAGAGATCAATCAATATACGTGTGATTTTCTTAAAGGATGCTTTTCTACTTTGCCTAGTGGTGATTCATGGTAGTTCACAGTAATTGGAATAACAGGGGAGACATAATCCATACCGTACGATCTGGATACGCCGTCATCTGAAATCAAAAGAGAGAAGAGAAAATTACTAAATGTATTATATACAGCTATATACTCTTTTTAAAACCACCCAAAGAAGCATGGCATCAATACTGAAACCCAAACGGGCCGTAATCTTTTGTTGGGAGACTTTATTATAACCTATCCTTCACTATTGTTGTAGTAAACTCGGAAAGTAAAGGGCCAATCTACAAAGCAAGAGTGTGCGTGAGACCAATTGATGTCTAAAATAACTTAAGACAAAGTTAAACTCGCTTCCATTTAACGTAGAAACGAGTTGACAAAACGCCGGCTTCAGCGTCCAGGATTTTCACATAAATATTCATGGCCAAAATACCATAAATACAATTAAAGCATTATAAAATGCTGAAGATTTACAAACTTAACGTTAGTCATTCCTTTCTTTTTATTCTCACCGATAAATCTTGAAAATCTATTTCAATGTTGTTTCCTTCAGCAACTCGAATCAGCCAGTAACAGTCCATATTTTTTGAGTAGGGGGATGGGTAATCAGGCGACTGGAGCGTGCCACTCCATACTGTGATATTTTGCTGCGCACATGGCTCTGTATCTGCAAGTGAAAATTTAAAAGAGTCTGGTCATAAAAGTTTACAACTTTCGTCCATTGGTGGCCTAAAACAAGCGATTATTATATTGCTGTTTACGCAAGATGAAGTGAATGCTGCGTTTTGATTTGCTACCCTAGCGAGCGAGATGGGCCTATCTTCGGCGCTCGGGATTTCCCACGTTGTCCTTCAAGGACACAGTTTCTTCGCTTGTTCCGTGAAAGATGGCTAGAATTGGCCTCGTCCTTTTTCAATGCTTTTTTTGCGTTTTCATTGACCTCGTCTTCCTCTCGGTCAATAAAAAGGAAGGAAAAAAATTAAACTTGGCCAGTATCCATCTATCTAAACCGAACAAGCTTGGACAAGATTGTTGTTTTTAACAACACAAGGTATCTCAAAACTTAAAAAGAGAATGTTTTTTTGTTTTAATCATTCCACTTTCTTTAATTACTTCTCAAAGACAGTCCTCTTCCTAGAGTACTGATGCAGTTTTCCTTTTTCTGATTTTGCTTAATTAATGAATTAAAAGCGTGGAAGTAGGAAACCTTAACTTCAACTATTTAAGATAACCAAAGCAGCGTGAGCCGGTGTTAAGACCTTAATTCTTTAGCAGATTTTACCTACCTGATATCATAAATAAAACGTGCAAAGCCAAGATGGACAAATTCGAAGCCATTTCATCTGAAGACAAAAAATTATGTCCTCACTAGAATAAAAACAATTAAAAAACAAGTAAGCGAGAGCACTTGGTGATGTTTCATTTTAAGACCTCAGAAACGTAACTTGTCGAATGATTTTTGATGAGTTTTCTTGGTCGTTTCAAACTCAAAACTTTGCAGCTTCTGTTCACGCATAGGGGCTGTGACAGTTAATTCTATGAAGTTGCAGTTCATACTATACCGCGTAATAGCTTTTCTGGCTGTACGAAAGGCTCTTCAGTATGGTGTGAACAAACCTAATGCTTACTGATATCTGTATAGAGTGTTTTCACATGACGTCACGGCGGCCATAAGTGTCCCAAAACAATGCAACGGCGGCCATGTTGGAGTCCCCAAACCGTCCCGTGGGAGTTGAACTCTTTTCTTATGCAAACGCTTTCTTTTGTTTCAATGAATTTGCGTAGATGCTGGCCACGTGAGTGAAAACTCTCTATTAAGTGATGCCATTATTATAAGGGACTCATGCTTCTTTGTTTTAGGAGGCGTGTGTATTGACCAATAATGGTGACTCTTTTCACTACATTTGGGAGTTGCACCATTCGACAAGCAGAGAACATGTTTTTTGTATGACCTCAAGCACAATTTGATTTTCATGATTTTGCATATAGATCCAACTATATTAAATAATGTCTTCAAAATTTAAAACAGGCTTCAAAACTGAGCATTATTGGTCGTTTTTATACTAAGGACGCATTATCCATCTGGACGAACTTGGACAAACATTTGTAGTTCGTCTGGTTATGAGTCTCAATTATAAAGACGGGCACAAGACGCATCACGCGTCTGGACGAACTTTGCTTCGAAATACGTTTTGAACGACGCACTACGAAAGGTAGTTTTCCTCCCTCAATTCAAGCCAGGGTTAATTCTTCTCTCTTGTCAGTGTCTTGTCTGTAATTCATTAACACGACAGTAGACTTTCAATATCAATCGCAACGGAAGGTAAAT